TGCGTCATTTTGGTGGGAGTGGAGCTGGTGGCCATTGTTGGCTTGGTAGGGAGGGGTGGCTGCTTGTGGCTGACGTGGCAAATGCAAAAGTGAGCTCCTCGGTGATCTGGTTGAAGATACCTTGACAGACTGTGCATATTTAGTGGAAAAACACTTGCTAAACTAAGAACCTTATATATGCTGGTTTTGGCGTCTTTCCAGCGTAATCATTGAAGCTTATGTGTTCGTTGTCTTCCGAGAATGAATGCTGTTGATGGGGGTTGAATTGACACCTGATTGGCCGGGATGGCATTCAGACGAAAAAAAGCCATTAACATTTTAATGGGTTTTTTCGTTTGAATGCCATCCAAGCATATATTATTACAGCCCAAAATTGGACTATTTTGGGTTGGGTTCCGAATAACCCAAATAATAGCTGATTGGAAAATTGGACTATTTTGAAGTAAGGTAAAGTAATCACATATTAGTATCAGTTTTCCGTCCTGCACAAATAATTTGTAATTTACTATTGGCTCCGAAGTCTGTTAGTATTGCGACAAGTTAGATATCGTATCGCTTCCTTGGCTTGCTACATCACTTGGTTCGTAGATATTAATAACGTTACAATGGGAAAACACGATGGAAGCGTGATTAAGAGCATAATATCAATTTCTACGACACTGGAGAGGTATGGATACGGTCAAAGCTTAGTCACCATACGGGTCTTGGACGAAGAAACAAAGCACTACTACTAGAAGTACGTATATGATACACATGTATTATAGCGTTTCATTCTTTGAATTGCCGGACCGGTGCTCATATCGAGCGCAGAGATTCATGATGATGGCGTCCGAAGCTTCTATTGACTGCCCAGACACTTTCTGCGTAAAACTTCAACGTGAACACTATGATCAAACGCTCATGCCAACCTAAAACGATCTCACTTTTCAATTTGCTATCAAAGTATCACTTTACCAGATCTCAACCAACAATGGCACCAAACACGTCTAATCCCAATTCAACCAAAATGACCTACCGCTTCCTGGGCAATTCCGGTCTCCTCGTGTCCAAGTTTTCTCTCGGATCTTGGATGTGGGCCAGCGACGACTACACGGTGGACGCATGGTACAAAATGATGGTCACGGCATTCCAAGGAGGCGTGAACCTTCTCGACACGGCCGAGAATTACGGTGAGACTCTGGCGGAGCGCAATATGGGCGGAGCCATAAAAAAAGGCATCGAAGAAGGCGTCTGGTGTCGCGAAGACCTGGTCGTGACTGCCAAACTGTTCGCAGGGACCACCGCGTGGGACCAAGCTAGTCCTAACGCGCAAGGATTGTGTCGCAAGCACATCGTGGAGGGCTTGAAGGCTTCTCTGCAGCGAATGCAGCTCGACTATGTCGACGTTGTCTTCTGTCACCGCCCTGATGCTCTCACCCCCGTTGAAGAGACCGTCCGAGCCATGAACTTTGTGATCGAGCAAGGTTGGGCCTTCTACTGGGGCACCAGTGAATGGCTCGCCTCGGACATCCAAGAGGCATGTGAGATCGCAGACCGGTTGGGACTCATCCGTCCCATTGTGGAGCAGCCACAGTACAACATGATTGAACGCAACAAGGTCGAGTACGAGTTTCTGGATCTGTACAAAAAGTACAAACTCGGACTCACGGTGTGGTCCCCGCTTTGCTCTGGTGCACTGACGGGCAAATACAGCGCGGCGTCCGAGGGCTCTCGCCTGACGACCGATCTCAAGGCCGGGCCTCCTGTCCGGATGGAAATGTTCACGGAAAAGATCAAAACGGCTGAGAGGCTGAAACCCATTGCCAAAGGCGTGGGCTGCTCGCTAGCGCAACTAGCTCTAGCGTGGTGCGTCTCGAATGAGAACGTTTCCACGGTGCTTCTCGGCGCCAGTCGTTCCTCGCAACTTGAGGAGAACCTCAAGGCCTTGGACTTCGTGGACAAGATCACGCCTGAGGTGAAAGCCAAGATTAATGAGGTCGTCAACTTCGTGCCGCATGCACCTCAGCAAGACTACCTTGCCAACCTCCGAGCCCGACACTTGTAGACTGTGCGAATGGAGATCTCTACGCTACGATACCTAACAGTAGTAGTGACTTGCATGAACAAAGTTGCATTGGTACTTAGGAATCGATTTTTGGGCTCACAATGATTAGCTGTTGCTTCAACTTTCAAACACGAAAGAGGTAAGCATGTTGTCGGACAATTCGACCTTCAACTGTGTTTGTGCTAATTATTTTCCACCTGTCACGAACACCTGAAGATGAAAGCACACTCACAAGTGACGCTTACGCAGATAGCCAAGAGGGTTCATCTCAGGAACGGTTGGGACGGCAGTGTAAACAGCGTCGATCTTGGTCTTCATTTCAGGCGTGATCTTGTCGACGAACTCAATAGCCTTCAGATTTTCTTCCAACTGCTCTGGACGGCTCGCGCCAATGAGAACAGTTGATACGTTCTTGTTGGACACACACCAGGCAGTCGCAAGCTGCGGCAGCGAGCACCCCAGCTCCTTTGCAATCGGCTTGAGCTTCTCGGCAATCTCCACGCGCTCGTCGTAGGTCGGCTGCAACGCACGGTTGGCGAATGCAGGCTTCGTGAAACGCGACCCGTCCGGTTTCCCGCTGCTGTATTTGCCAGTCAGGGTCCCATAGGCCAGTGGAGAGAAGGTCGTGAGACCCAACTTGTACTTCTTGTACAGATCCGCATACTCGAACTCGACCTTGTCGCGGGTGAAGATATTGTACTGCGACTGCTCCACAATGGGACGGATCAGGCCCAAACGGTCCGCGATCTCACACGCCTCACGGATATCCGATGCCAACCACTCACTGGTGCCCCAGTAGAAGGCCCAACCTTGGTTGATGACAAAGGTCATGGCTCGGACAGTCTCTTCAATGGGCGTGTAAGGCTCCGGGCGATGGCAGAAAATCACGTCCACGTAGTCCAGTTGCATACGGCGCAGTGAGGCACGAGCACCTTCAACGATGTGCTTGCGACTCAAGCCTTGGTCGTTCGGACCAGACTCCGTGAAGCCCTTGTAGCCCACGAAGAGCTTGGTGGTGACCACGAGGTCTTCACGGGTCCAGACACCTTCCTCGATGCCTTTCTTTATGGCACCACCCATGTTCTCTTCGGCCTGACCGTTGCCGTAGATCTCAGCGTTGTCGTAGAAGTTTACTCCGCGCTTGAACGCAGTCTTCATCATCTCGTACCAGGCGTCCACGGTGTGGTATTCCTCTCGGTACATCCAACTTCCGACAGCCAACTTGGACACTAGCAGGCCGGAGTTGCCCAGGAAGCGGTACGTCATCTTGGTGGGAGTAGCGGACGCCATCGTGATAGTGTAGCAGTGGACTGAACTTTGGTTTGGTTTAAAGCAAATTGAAAAGTGAGAAGAGCTCAAGCCGAGCACACTGCGCCCTCACCTTTGGATCTGGATGATGGTGTGTACACTATTACTATCGTCGATGCAGTCTAGCGAACTGCACAATCAACTGCTTGTAGTGGCCAATGAAAGACCGAATCCACATACATGTAGTCAAGGCAACCACCAAGCAATGATGCCGAGAAACCCCATGCCACATGAGCATGTACTGCATAAACTACTTTAAGCTCACTTGCTGATAAGGCCCATAGTTTGGGGCACAATTTTGAAGAATCTACTCGCTCATAACAATACCGAAATACATAAGTCGAGATCATGAGCGCGAATGAGTACTCCGAACGGTTATTTCTTTA